AAAAAAAACCCAACCCAAAAAAAAAAAGGTGGACCGACCCAAATGACGTAGAGAAAATGGACCTCCCACCCCCTACAACATCCAGTTTGCACCTCTAAATCCCAACCGTACCTTTCCGAGTGGTGTAGCATCTTTTGAATGCCTGAGATGTGGCCACTGATGGAAGAGAAACAACGACTGAGCATGCATCTCAAGATGATGAAAGAAATATATCAAATGCAATCATCAAGGCCACCTTCATCATCTTTAACTTAATAGAGTTGAATCAGTTGAAATGGAAGCTGTATGCCTCATGGTGGTGAATCCCAAGGGTATCAATACGGTGCAAACTGACATATTTAGCACACAACACCACTGTCGCGTCATCCAGAGCAACCAACCTAGTCTAGGAAATAATAACTCTACATTCTCTTTTGCTTTATCTACAATCCCGTCTCTCTCCCTAGTTCTAATGGTCAAATGGAAATTCAGAATCATTCTCAGTCACTTTAAAGGGCTGAGGATGCTGTCCAGAGCAGTATAGATTCCACATCTTACAATACGCCCGCTCGAGATTCGTCACCTGAGCACGCAAAAAAGGGGTTAAATCAGCACCAGCACAATCACAAAGCATTCAAAAAAATGAAAAGACAAACATCACATTGTTTAAGGCAAATATTATGATGCTTCCCAACACTCAATTCACAAAGTTATCATCCAAAAGAAAATGTTTTAAGGAGCGAAACCGGCAATAACTTGATCTAGGCAGCAATAATCACTAGTTTACTCACCCAGCGGGCCGTATCAAATAGAGGACAGCTCATACGGACCGCCTTGAGCTTGTCAGCAAGGTCCTGGAGCTTTGAGCGATTTAGTGCCAGTGACACTGCCTTCTCTTCATATTCTTTCATACTTCAACAAGAAGAAATAGACAGTTCAAAAAACAAAACAAAACAAAACAAAAAAAGAAGAAACAGAAACTCAACAATCATTCAAAAACTGAAGCTTTTAAAGGGGGAAGGAAAACAAAAGGAAGCTAAAATATGCTGCAGCTTCCACTCGCAAGCAGATGTGAGAATCAAACAAAAAGTCACTTTTTTATGGCTTTGAGCATGGGTTCCATGGTCTTTATTGCACACAGAATTTACACTGTATCATGTGGTGGCTACATAGCAGTGCTGTTATCCAACTATTAGTAGCATTATTTGTATACTCTATATAAGCAATTGTCAAGCTTATCTACCTAAAGAGTTTTGATTTATGTCCAACAGTTTCCATAGTTTCCAATTTTATTCTCCCTTTCCATTACGTTTCCAAAACACATCTATTTCCAATTTTTTGTATCCAAGCAAACCAAAACTATACCCAATGTTACCTGTATCGTGGGTCGCTTTGGTACATAATACGTTTACGAGTATATGGTATGACATTTTCTTAAGTACGCGATAAAATGAAAGTAGGCTTAGCTGGTACGGTATTTTGAGTCGCAATTCGTTTTGGAACTCTTGTGCAAATTGCTTTTAATACTATATAACATTATATATTACAGNTGTATCCAAGCAAACCAAAACTATACCCAATGTTACCTGTATCGTGGGTCGCTTTGGTACGTAATACGTTTACGAGTATACGGTATGACATTTTCTTAAGTACGCGATAAAATGAAGGTAGGCTTAGCTGGTACGGTATTTTGAGTCGCAATTCGTTTTGGAACTCTTGTGCAAATTGCTTTTAATACTATATAACATTATATATTACAGAACATCCATAAGCACTAAATCATTTACTATTTATCTTATAGTTGTACTTGATTTTCTATTATCTAAAACAATATATAATTATATATTTATAAACATGCAGTCAATTAATATGTATTTTATATTTGTACTATATGTTTTAAAGTAAATTGATTTAGAGTTAGTATTATAATTTGGGGTCGTCCATTTTTTGTGATCTGGATCGTAAACCCACCCCTTTTGAGATCAATGTACCCTGATCATGAGTCNATGCAGTCAATTAATATGTATTTTATATTTGTAATATATGTTTTAAAGTAAATTGATTTAGAGTTAGTATTATAATTTGGGGTCGTCCATTTTTGGTGATCTGGATCGTAAACCCACCCCTTTTGAGATCAATGTACCCTGATCATGAGTCGTCAGGGGTTTAGTGAATTGTGGTAACCATAACTATACCTAAAACGAAATTTTGATCCTTGCTCTCCAGGCTATAATAAAGCTTAAATAATTTAGCACAATAAACAAATTTTGGTATGAAATTGTTCACTTTCTAATAGCACACAAATGTCGTAATTCGTGCCAAGGGATCGATCTGCTAAAGAAATGGAATTGGACTCCAAGAACAACAAATGGAAGATTTGGCATATTTAATGAAAACATACTGTTGGATGCCCAACACTTAAATCATCACAATAATAAAATACCTACCTGCCCACGATCATATCCTCCCCAACTCCAGTGGCAAGACATAGAGAACCAGCAACTCTGGTCGCCATTTTCTCAAGGGGAAGGGTCACCATAGGCAGACCAGCCCACAGGACATCTGTGCCCGTGGTGTGCGCATTGCATAGTGGCCTACTCGGAAGAAAAGGGGGGAAATTATAGTTACCCAAAACTTGTAGAAATGAACAAAGTGCAAGTTGAGTAACAACGAAATAAGAGAATAGTTATATACATACGTGTCAAGGAATAGATCTGCTAAAGAACTGCGTCTGATATGTTCATTCTTCATCGCAACGTCTGTGAAAATAATTTGGTCTGGTTGCACACCATGTGCAACAGCATCTGGACAAACAAAAGCCATCATGTTAAGTGATTCCTGTCGTATAAACAGCCACCCACAAACCTTCAAAACGACTTAATTGTGTCATGACTAGGAAGATAAAGGCTGTCTACCACGTGCAACACCAAACAATATATGGATTTACTAGACAATGTTACATACATGCGCGAACCCTTGTTTCACCCGCAGCAGGAAATCTAAGAAGCCAAAGTACACTGTTGGGGACACGCTTCAGGATGTTGCACCTGAAATAGTTAAAGCCCAATTGACTTTGGCAGAACATTGCATGAATGCTAAAGATAGCACTATCAAAATCAGATGAAATATTACCAAGTACTAAAAATTTCAGGATCCATCTTGTACAACTGATTGAAGCAAGCAAATATAAATTTATTCTCTGGCAATCCATAATCTGATCGCCTCGGTTGGCAGTTGGGATCCAGTACATCTCTATTTTTCTAAAGCAATTGTAAAAGGGGGAAGAAAACATAAGTCAGCTTGACCTGCAACATGGTTTCCTCAAAAATCGAGCAGACCAAAGGGTCAAGATATAACCTGCTTATAATCATTTACAAAGTAGCAATGAGGAAGATGGACAAGCTTCTCAGAGTAGATATGTGCAAAACGCGTTGGTGAAACAAACTGCCAGAGGAGAAAACACAAGTTGAATATGCAAAAATGGGATGCACAAAGCAGCATCAGCAGATAAAAACCCCAGCTCTCTCACCTCATCAGTGACCAAATATTGTATGTAGGCTGCCCCTGTAGTTCCTGGAAATCCCATGTATGAGACCTGGATGGGAGCAGGCTGCATTGCAAATATTTCATTTCTAGCCCCCTGCAGAAAGAAGAAAAGGGTACCACAACAATTAGAAAGGCCGGTAGTATAAATAAAAACAGAAAAAAAAATACAGATTCCGAAATAAGAAGCAGAATAGGATGACAATGTTTGCTTTGTTAGACAAATTCAAGTCATCTCCCAGTATCATCTAAAAGGGAGTCGAGTGAGGTCAGAAAAACTACATTTACTTATTGATTGATTATTTTTCTTTTTTCCTAAGAATTGGTTAAACCACAATATACATCCCTGCACTTTATGTTGTACTGATTAGCAACTAATAATTTTGTTATAGTTTTATAACAATTTCCAATTACCTACTAAACAGATAGCAACAATACCTTAGTATAGCCATTGAGATTGACAAGAATTTGTATTTGATCCTCATTGATCAGCCTTGCAATCATATCAGATGATAAGGATGACACGTCCACAAAATGCTCTGCTTCTGATTGTGTGCGCAGCCTCCACTCAGTGCCATCGTTGGGACTCAAAGCGTAACAGAATACCTAAAAGAAGCATTTCCACATTATTCTATTATAGAAAATACAGATAAATGGAAGCCCAAAAACAGTACATGAAAGGAACAAAAATCTTAAATTCACAAACCTCAACAGTTTCTCTGTTGTGCATCCCAAATACTGAACCCATAAGATGGGATAAGGGATGGTTACCGAAATCACTGCTCACATATCTGGAAAAAAAAACCATTAGACAAATTGACAAAAGTTACTTTTACCTTCCCCAAGAATACGTAAACCGGAAAGAGAGGAGAGGGGAGCAGAATATAATAGAAAATTTAGAACTAGGGTTGATTTCCAAAACTCACCCAACTCTCAATCGGTCATTTCTACCCCCGCCCTTTATGGGTAAGGGTGAAGGATGNAACGGAAAGAAAGGAGAGGGGAGCAGAATATAATAGAAAATTTAGAACTGGGGTTGATTTCCAAAACTCACCCAACTCTCAATCGGTCATTTCTACCCCCGCCCTTTATGGGTAAGGGTGAAGGATGGCTGAAAGGAGGGAGCGAATACCGCTCAGCGATGACAGAACAGTGTGCAGCATATTTTCGACTGCCACAACAAAGAAATCACCTTAGTATGAAAATACAGACTCACTATGGATGTCCCCTCCACACAAATAATAAATTTCTCACCTAATCTCAAGTGCAAGCATTGGATCAAGGGGATAGGCAATTGCATGGAAAGGCTGCACACTTGGAATAACTGAATTCTAAGAGGAGATAATAAATGCAGTCAGGCCTTTACCCAATCATAGATCAAGTAGAATTACAATGTTCAGCATCAGGTAACAAACTTAGAAAAAGAAAGGAAGAAAAACTAGGCAGGTGCAGTACAACCTTAATCTGTCTTCGTAGGAGCACTTCAACTTCAACAAACATTTTCTCTCGATTATCCCAATGGCACACACACTGAAAAAACATCATGAAACCAAACTAATTAAATCTGCTTGAATCTGTAATAGCACATCCAAGCATCATGCAACAACAACTTGGTAAAACAAGTTGAGCCAGGTAATCAAAAGCATCACAACAAAGAGATCTAGGCATAGATAAAATAACCACCAATACCAAATTTATCCATTCATATGTATCTTAAAACTTCGATATGTTTACTGTACCACGATGCAAATTAATTTTTGTTATGAGTGCTAAATAGAACTCATAGCATTAATTATGGCTATGTACATCAACAAAAGCATCGGGATCGATCAGAACTAAGACTGAGCAGATATCCCATTGTTTGGGATTAGCAGGAGGCAATACTCAACTACTCGAGCAAAAATGTGGTAACTACCCTCTATCAACTAGTCTCCAACTTATTGGTAAGTGCATCCTCCATAAGAGCACTTTNATGTATCTTAAAACTTCGATATTTTTACTGTTACCACGATGCAAATTAATTTTTGTTATGAGTGCTAAATAGAACTCATAGCATTAATTATGGCTATGTACATCAACAAAAGCATCGGGATCGATCAGAACTAAGACTGAGCAGATATCCCATTGTTTGGGATTAGCAGGAGGCAATACTCAACTACTCGAGCAAAAATGTGGTAACTACCCTCTATCAACTAGTCTCCAACTTATTGGTAAGTGCATCCTCCATAAGAGCACTTTATATCAGAGTTTGTTGTTTCCTTCCGCTTCTTCTTTGGAGCTTCATGTCTTTTCTAATCCAAACTCTGCATATGACATCATGGTGCGCAAATACACAAATGGTTTCTGTGTCTTTTTGGGTTATTCCCTCATTTCCCAGAGCAACAAGAAACAGCCTTTTGACGCTCATTCTACTACTAAGGCTAAAGATCGTGCTATGACTAGTACTACATTAAAGATAGTTTGGTTGAGATGGTTACTTGTTGATCTAGGAGTTTCATTTTCTGCTCTTCCTTCTATGAATTTGTGACAACAAGAGTGATACTCAAATTGCACACAACTTTATTTTCTATGAGGGACTAAGTATATCAAGATCGACTGTCATTTTGTGCGCCGCNGTTTCTGTGTCTTTTTGGGTTATTCCCTCATTTCCCAGAGCAGCAAGAAACAGCCTTTTGACGCTCATTCTACTACTAAGGCTAAAGATCGTGCTATGACTAGTACTACGTTAAAGATAGTTTGGTTGAGATGGTTACTTGTTGATCTAGGAGTTTCATTTTCTGCTCTTCCTTCTATGTATTTGTGACAACAAGAGTGATACTCAAATTGCACACAATTTTATTTTCTATGAGGGACTAAGTATATCAAGATCGACTGTCATTTTGTGCGCCGCCACCCACTATCTTCTACTTGGGACTATTTCCTTACCTTTTGTTTCTTCTACTATGCAATTGGCCAACTTTTTCTCGAAAGTCTCACACAACCCTGCATTTTTGTTTTCTTCTAGACAAACTCTCGATATTTCTTACTATCACATCATGAATTTGAGTGAGGGAATTAAGATTGTATTTATATTTATTCATCATTACGGGTATTTCAGTCTTTCCTTGTAGTAGGGTCTTATATACAGTGTCTCTTGTTACTAGTTATTTAGTATTGTGGAATATTAGAGAATAGCAGCATGGTTTCTTCTCTCTTCTTTTCTACACATGTTCAGCTGAAAAAGACGAAGGATTCAAAACATTGAACAAAGAGGTTTAGAGTTCCTGTACCCTTGCTCATTACCAGGAAAAAAAAAATAAGGGAAAAGGGAGTAAGAAAAGAAGTTGGGGGGGGGATTTGGAAGAAAGGGAAGCATTTTGCAGTATAATATGCATGCCCACAAAAAAGTGATGTTTAGTTTAAACTGCTAGGTGGACATATTGTATAGCAGAAAAGTTCTAATACAACTTCCATTGCAACTTGGAGTACCACATAAAAAATAGCACAAAGCCATGCACCATATGGGCTTTTCTTGTTTACTTGTGCGGACGGAAAAGGCGGGGTGGGGGAATAATTGATAAAGAGACATTGTGGTTCATATATCATGTTTTGATCCAAAGAACATCTACATCATGCTTGGATATACCTGTAATGTATGTAAAAGATTACAAGTTGCTTCAGGAAAATCAGGGCGTAGATTCAATGCTTGCTTATAACTTTTTATAGCTGCCTCCACATGACCACTACAGATTGTCCAACATCAAGAATTAAGCTCATGTAATATGTATGCTTGAAAAGCATAAAATGGTCCAACAAAGTTATGTCTCTTAAAAAACACTGTAGCAAACCTGTCCTTATAAGCTGAAGCCAGATTTGCATGGGCTTCAGGCATGGCTGGCCGGATGGCAATAGCTCGTGAATAGTCTTGCATCGCTTCATTAACTCTTCCAATCTCCTTGTAAGTGTTTCCCCGATTGACAAGCACATCAGCTGCCAAAGGATCAATTCGGAGGACTTCATTGTAGCAAGATATAGCATCGGCATAATTACCCTGTAAGTGAGGTAAAATTATCTTATTGTCAATTCAGAAAACATTGACAAGAAATTACAGAGAATGTCGTGAACAGTTCACAGAAGACAATAATACCATTTCTACCGAGTCTCGAGTATAAAAACTATTTCAGTGAGAGAGAGAGAGAGAGAGAGAGAGAGAGAGAGANCATGAACAGTTCACAAAAGACAATAATACCATTTCTACCGAGTCTCGAGTATAAAAACTATTTCAATGAGAGAGAGAGAGAGAGAGGATGGCACTACCTGCTGTTTGTAGATTATTGCCAAACTGTTAAAAGGAGCAGACAGCCCTGTTGTTACAGATAGAGTCGCCTGGTAACATTGTGCAGCAGCACTCATCATGTTCCTAAGATATCAGAAAGCTCTCCTTAAGAGACTACATACATGCTTATTTCATGAAATGTTTCCATTTGTTGAAAATAGAACTCAACTACAAGTCTATCAACACATACCATTCCATGTATATGTGTCCTAGACTAGCAAGTGCTTGAGGGTGGCTAGGTTGCAAAGAAAGGCATTGCTTCAGGACAGAACATAATTTTGATCAGAATAGAGGGCAGAAACAAAATAATAAACAAATAAACTAAAGACAGAAAGACAGCATAGAACCTACACGGTAGCAATGGATCCCTTCCTCAACTCTGCCAGCATCTTTCAGTGCATTACCCTTCCAAAATCAGAAGACAAAACACCAGATTTATTCAGCTGAAACTGCGGAAGTACAAAATTCACAATTTGGAAGAACAATTGAAAAAGAAATGACAGGCCAACCAAACTAATATATGCATCCAAGAATCCAGCGTCACAAGCAATGGCTCGCTTGTAATGCAATATTGCGATATCCAGGTTGCCTTGCTCATAGTATATACTTGCCAAATTGCCTGCACAATTTGTTTCATTGGATAAACATATCACCAAGTCACATAGTATTTTTTGATCATATGTTTCAACTAATAAATAGAACTGAGTAATGTGCTCCAGTCACAGACACCAGCTATTACAACTCTGATTAGTCGACCAGACTAATACTAGTTACATTCATGTAGTTTGCATCTTTCAGATTCATTGTTTGAGCCCTTCAAGATCGAAGCATAATCGGGTGAAGCTAACTATAATCTGAGGTCAGCCTGTTTAAATCTGCTTTTGGGGAGGATGAATTGCAATACTTTGAAAGAATGACAACTTGGTCGCTATAAGATATTTATTTGAAAGTTAACAAACACAATCTGGCACAAGGACATATTTAAGAGAAATTCCAACACATGTACATAAAGAAAACACTCACCAAAAGCCATGGCAAAGTCNCTTTGAAAGAATGACAACTTGGTCGCTATAAGATATTTATTTGAAAGTTAACAAACACAATCTGGCACAAGGACATATTTAGAAATTCCAACACATGTACATAAAGAAAACACTCACCAAAAGCCATGGCAAAGTCTGGACGGGCCTGGAGAGTGTGCTGATAACACATAATAGCCTCTTGAGGCATTCCCAAAGCCTGAAAAATACAAAGAAGATCTTGTTTTTCTGCAGATTCTTGTCCTGGAAGTAGCAGCTACCTGACTGGCAAATACACAGGAGCTTACCTTGTAAACTTTACCCAGGTTCAAATAGGCATCTGAAAATGTTGGTTTGAGCTTAACTGCTTCCTGAAAACAAGTGTGATATCATCAAAACCAATTAACCGAACACAAAGCAGCCTATATTTTAATAAAATCCAACAAATGAGCAATAAACAGATATACAAAAGGAGAAGTGCTAACACAAAATCCAAAAACCATGTCTCAGCAATCCTATGATAAATCATTTAAAAAATTGACATTCATACCTTGTAATATTGCATAGCCCTATTAAGATCACCTGCCTCCATGAAAAGGCCAGCAAGATTGGACCAAGCAATGGCAAAAGTTGGTTGTATACGAAGAGCCTCAACATAGCAATTGTATGCCTAACCAAATAACAAATGCTCACACTATTAAAAGGAAAAACGAAACAAGACTGACAATCTCAAACTTAAATGAGAAAAAATACCTCCGAACAACCACATAAGTCACATCATATGCAGATAAACATCCTAAAACAACTAGACACTGCAAGAGTGAAGGGCTTGCATAGCTCCCCTTGCACACCAGCAAGGTGTTGAAAACCAAGTTGGTTTTATTAAATTTTCTCAGTCAACCAAAAGAAACAACAGTGAGACAAGAGGCATAACAGATTTCAATGGCTATGAAATGCTTGCAGTTAAAATTTACCACCCTACCCTAGAAAGGTACTCCATAGAGAGAATGTTGATGATTATGATGACAAAAAGAACCCTTACAATCATAAAATAAATAATTACAATGACTAAAACTATGACAACAACAAATAAAAATAGCCAGAAAGTCCAACAATATAACTTAAACCGTTTCAAATGAACAGAAATGACAAAGAAAAGAATCGAAGATCAAGGCATATGAACACGGCAGTTAACTTGATGGCTTACCTCTTGCACTAAGCCTTGAGCTTTCATCAGATTCCCAAGGTTACTATGAGCATCAACCTACAAGAACAGAACAAAATGTGAGAGGAATCCTGGTGAAATCGGATGCAAGTAGTATTAGAACTGAAAAGGGGACATACCAGCCGAGGATTTAATGCAAGAGCCTGGCGACAACATTGGGCTGCCTCATTAAGCATTCCTTTACGCATGTATGCACTACCTAAGTTTGACCATGCATCGGCAAAATTGGGACGAAGCTGACATGTATAAAGACAGAAGTAAGTGCCTACTCAACTCATATTCACTCCAAAGCTAAATTAACAGCAACCAACTTGACTATCTTCATATCATAAGACGTAGCCATGCAAGTAACGAGATAAGAGTTCTAATGCAACCACTAACTAATCAGCTCCAATTCAGCATATAAGAAACACAAAACCCCACTCAGTTAAGGGGGTAACCAGTGGCAACCAAAACAATAGATTATACTCGTATTATGTATAATAATAACAACCTTATTTCTGTTGTGAGATGACAAGAAACATCAACATCGAGCATATAGAAATAAAGGGCATCCTTAAGGTGCACTAGAAAACTGAAAGAAAGATGGGGGGTAAAGGAAGAGGGGAAACTCGAGCAATTACAAAATCAGAACAATATCCAACTAATGACATATAGGAATAAAATTCCAGTGGCATTGGATCAGTCTCAAGTGATTTTCATCCAGCTCAGGATACAACAGTTGATGGCTACTCATAAAACTCGTTCATAGACAGGAATCCGCCTAGAGGAGGAGATTGGAGTCAGTTTTGAAATTATTTTAAGCAAAAAATATGGAGGTTTTCATGTGTTTTTGTGCAGAAAACCAAGTTTGAAACCCTTGCTATATCACTAGCCTATTAGCCTATTTGATGTTCACTTGTCTCCATATACCTCAATATACACATAAATGACATGGTTTAATGCGCCTGGACATGCATGGTTTCTTGTAGTATAATATGATGATTNGTGGCAACCAAAACAATAGATTATACTAAAAAAAAGTAGATGCATATGATACATACATATATACTCGTATTATGTATAATAATAACAACCTTATTTCTGTTGTGAGATGACAAGANGCGGCAACCAAAACAATAGATTATACTCGTATTATGTATAATAATAACAACCTTATTTCTGTTGTGAGATGACAAGAAACATCAACATCGAGCATATAGAAACAAAGGGCATCCTTAAGGTGCACTAGAAAACTGAAAGAAAGATGGGGGGTNGAAACATCAACATCGAGCATATAGAAATAAAGGGCATCCTTAAGGTGCACTAGAAAACTGAAAGAAAGATGGGGGGTAAAGGAAGAGGGGAAACTCGAGCAATTACAAAATCAGAACAATATCCAACTAATGACATATAGGAATAAAATTCCAGTGGCATTGGATCAGTCTCAAGTGATTTTCATCCAGCTCAGGATACAACAGTTGATGGCTACTCATAAAACTCGTTCATAGACAGGAATCCGCCTAGAGGAGGAGATTGGAGTCAGTTTTGAAATTATTTTAAGCAAAAAATATGNCCCCCCCCCCCCCCCCTCCTTTTTTTTTTGTGTTGAATCAAAAATCAAATGCCCCAGCCTACCTCAGATCAGGTCAATTCAGTTCTACAATCATCTCACTTTAGCTTAAGCTTACAAAGAAGAGATGAAATTATGAAATGTGAAGAAAAGAAACCCTCCAGCAAACCAGAGCAGCCTTTGTTTGGTAGGTTATAGCAGGTTTAAGCAGCCACCAACAAAGTCTAAGAACCACTCATCCAAGCCCAGCAATCTTCCTGAAAAGCCTAATGGTCCCATTACAATGAAAATACCAAGCCATTTAAAATTTTCTTTTCCCAAATAACCGTCTCAGAGATCAAGAAACCTATTTTGTACAGGATAAAAATATATTCATTCGTAAAAATTTGATTCCTTTGCAAGGGATAATAACAGAGAGAGACTTTACTTTCTTATTCTTATAATCACCAATTCATGTGTTATTTGGTGTATTGTTCCAAAGGTTGTTACGCCTCATTCAAGCTCGTTTGTACTAGAAATAAATTAAATAAGATCAACTTTTTAACCTCATTTAAAGTTCACACCAAGCCCGAGTGCCGCTTGACTCGGTAGGCTCGAGCTCTATTTGTCTGAATATATGAATATTTTCATGGTGAAGAACTAATAAAGTAGCAGCCTTAGATTGANGCCGCTTGACTCGGTAGGCTCGAGCTCTATTTGTCTGAATATATGAATATTTTCATGGTGAAGAACTAATAAAGTAGCAGCCTTAGATTGAAGGATAGGGCGTTTGACTTCTAATCGGGAGATTGTAGATTCGAGTCTCATCAGATATCATCCATCTCCCCACACAAAAAGAAAAAAAAAAAAAAAGAATGAGATGAAGCTGAGCTCCTAGTCCCAAAATGAAGCAAGCCGAACCGAGAGGAACCTGAATATATGATCTAGAATCGAGATGAANAAAAAAAAAAAAAAAGATGAGATGAAGCTGAGCTCCTAGTCCCAAAATGAAGCAAGCCGAACCGAGAGGAACCTGAATATATGATCTAGAATCGAGATGAACTTGCGTAAGATTCCAAACCCGAAAATTGAGCCTGAGCCGAGCTTGAACAAGTGATAACCAACTTGAGTCGAGCCTAAGCACACCTAGGCTTAATTAACATCCCTTTACAATGAAGCCCGAAGCCAGGAGGATGAATGTATTCATCATTCAAAAGCATTATTCGATTTAATGCCACTAAGTAAAATCTGTCCTATCCTTCTGACTATGCCAGAAAGAGTCACAGATGGCGGATACTTGGCCCCGAAATCACCCATGCATGTTGACAGATTGATTTTCAGAGAAAATACTCTCATTCTTCAAGAATTCAGTGTATCACAACACTGATCGTGGAATTACTAGGGTATAAGGAACAACTATATGGGGTATCCATATTACTAGTGTGCAACTCACATGGCTATAAAAAAATGTCAGACGCACATTGTTTTTTATATGTTAACTTTCAGCTCTAACTGTGGCTGCTTAAATCAGGGAAATAGACAATCCAGTATAAAAAACACTTTGGACAACCATTCTAACTTGCAATCAGATATATTGAAAATATGGAATAATGGAGAATCTCAGGACTTCAAGGTACTTGTGCAATACCAAACACCTAGCATTGCTCTTTCAGGAAAGGTTTTCATCATGTAAATGCAAGAAGAGACAACGGTATGAAATTGATGCATATTTCAAACCAATCGGATAAACTATTTCCACGCATCCTGAGGTATGTCAAAACCAAACAGTCACCCCCTAACATTTGACAAATGGCATAGTGATGTAGATTAGGAAACTGTAGAATTAGGGGATGAAAAAGGAAGAAGAATTAGGGGACGAGAAGAAAAAAATGGATTAGAAGGGAAAAAGAGGATAAGAAATCAAAAGAAAGAGATGAAAAGAAGACTAGGGCAAGAGAAATACTCTCAATAATTCATTAATCCAAGACTAGCTAACATCAGCCCCTTNAGGGAAGAAGAGGATAAGAAATCAAAAGAAAGAGATGAAAAGAAGACTAGGGCAAGAGAAATACTCTCAATAATTCATTAATCCAAGACTAGCTAACATCAGCCCCTTTATATAGGCATAGGGAACTCAAAAACCCAAAAATCAAAGCTTCCTTATCGAACTCTACTAAAAGATAAAAACATAAGGGAATGAAAAGAGAAGAAGAAAATGAATGACAAGGGAATAAGGAGATGAGAAGAAGATTACGGCAAGAGAAATACTCTCAATAATTCAATAATCTGAGACCACCCAAGAAAAATAACATCAGCCCTTTANGGGAATAAGGAGATGAGAAGAAGATTACGGCAAGAGAAATACTCTCAATAATTCAATAATCTGAGACCACCCAAGAAAAATAACATCAGCCCTTTATATGGGGAACTCAAAAACACTAAAATCAAAGATTCGTAATCAAACTCTACTATTAAAAGATAAAAATAAATAAAATATCTTAATAAATAAAAAATCCAAAATAAATCTACATCATTTATCCTATTCCAAACCAATGATCATCACACAGTGACCCAAATCGAAAAATTTAAATGATTAATTTAAACAATTTTCACAAAACAACTAAATCACCTACATCTAACGAGTCAACTACTTCCCCCACCTAACACACAAGCACACCCATGGAACGAATTGCTTGTCCGAATAGTGATTTTTCTTCGGAATAAGACTGCCCTTCCAGCTCGACATCAAACCTAACTTGTCCAACTTACATTTTACCATTATGTGAAACTTTCTCTTACTTCATCCAATCACTCTTCTCATTTTTCCTCTCTCGTTAGTCCATCTCTTTTCTCTCTCAATTTGTGCCTCTCTCATTGGACCAAAGAGGGTGGTCCATAACCACCATCATCTGGCCTTTCCTCTTTCTCTATCTCTCTCGTGATTCAAAGAATCAACCGAGTTCCATATGAGTCATCCTTATCATTTCGATACCTTTACACATCCCGCGTGGTTAACTCAAAGACTTCTCGGATGATTCGGTCAATTTATTCATCTGAATCATCGACATCGACTCATAGAGTATCATCAACTTCCATTCCACGAGGCCGAGATATGGGGTGATCTCTCACTATGTCTAACTTTTTTGCAATTTGGTTGTGGTTTGGCTGCAATTTTGTTGTGTTGTACATTAGTAGGTTAGGTGGAGGTGATGAAAGCCCGCCATGTAACACTCGACGCTCAGAGATATCCTAGTGTTCGTGGGTGGTGTGTTGGGTGGTGGTTCTTACCTCCGGAGTGATGTTCGTGTTGGCTGATTGGTGTTCGTGGTTGTTATGGTGGTGTTTGATTCATTGTCCTGCTTGACCAACAAGGGTCAGAATCAACACAGCTTTTCAAAGCGCCATCGCAATATTTTTTCAATAAGAAATGATAATATTATTTATCATAAAATATAAATGGAAACAATACAAAATTAATCTGCGGTGGACAAGTTTGTCCAAACCAAAAACTCATCGAAATGTGAACATTAGAAAATAAAGACTACATTCTGCAAAATATTGTCCAGCTCGATGTGATGCAAAAAAGAGGAACATATTCAAACTCCTTAGTAGTCGAAATCCAAAAGGAGGTCCAAAAGTAAAGTCGATTCCATAGTTCTTCCACCTCCTCACTTTTTCCTTAAAAATCCTTGCATTGCTTTCGAACCAAACAACTCATATGGTAGCATTAAAAGCACACAATCCCATAAAGTCCTCCATCTCCTATCGCTTCCCCCACCCATAACATCCTAACAAAACATAGATGGTATGGTAATCGGTCTCACCCAATCAAGGTTTCAAAACGCGTATCAGAAGGCTTATCGATTGTCAAAAATAGTGTATCATTTATTATAATATATCGCGTACGCATAATATTAAATAAAATTTATTAATACATATTTATACCTTTCAAAAAAAATAATAATAACATTTTGTTTCATTAATATTCCACCAACTATTCAAGTTTTCAACATAATTCTAACTTCTAACATCCAAAATAATTCATTCTTATGAATTCTATCTTCAACTCAATCTCCAATTTCAATTGAAAATGCATCATCATCTTCGTTGTTATCGGATGCTAACAATTCTTTACTTTCTTCATCCTCTTGAACTTCAACTTCTTGTATGTCTTCATCCGCATCAAGTTCAACTACTTGTTTTCCGTCAAAATTCAACTATCTGCTAAATGATTTCTCATTCTTGAAATGTCTCTTGGAGAGGCATTTCCGCAATGAATGCATTTCAATTTCAACCTTGATGTTGATCCTCCATTTACTTTTTCACAATGTTCCCATGTAGGATCATTAGCATCATTAGCAGGTTTTTTCGAATTTTTCATGGTACAACAGATTTTTTGAGGTTTAAAGAACAAACCGTAGCCCTTGTTCTTCCCAAATGCTTCTCAGCAATTGATATGGAAATAGACAACCCTTTTACTTCCCAAGAAGTGCCAGAATTTTGGTAAAGTTTCTTTTTGGGGGGGTTCTGTTTGAACAATAATAATATTAATTACGAATTTTGCTAGTGGATCAGAAACATTCAGTAGAAAAACATGAATTTATTCAATGAGCACTTACATTTGTATGTGATTTAGGCGAAGGATAGATCAATTTTTGTCGAACAAGGCGATAACTGAAAACAATTGAAGATCCTTGCACAGCTTTACCAGATCAGAATGGAAGATCCAACAGAAGATGGTAGCAGCTGAAGACCTTCGTAGAGCTATACCAGACCAGAAACCATTCGCATGACCTTTGCAACTTCGCAGGCCCAGAAGAAGGGGAAGAAATAGAACAAACCTGGGCTTCACATGGCTGATCGAACAAACTAGGACTCCGCAAATTTTGTGGAATGAAATATGGCTTATCAATCGACAAAGGTGAACGGTTTTAATTTTTTTAAACCTTCAATTGCCAAGGGTTTAAAAAAATAAATTCGTCAACAAACGTCATTTTTTTTGTTTGAAGTTGGAAAAATTAAAAACAAAAATTGAGGTTCGCACAAATCGGATGTGTGTAAAGATACGTATCGTGCGATCCGTCTCGTGTCTTGTACAATACAAGGAAAAAAGGACACAAAAGACCGAGATGTATCATTTTTCATGTGACTCGTAATGTATCTTACGATATGTATCATGTATCATACGATATGATATTGAACACCTTGGACCCAACTTTTTCCACATGGTAAAGCAACTTGTTCCATAGTGAAAGTGCAATCCCCATTGCATGCGAAGACATTTGTCTAACTGAATTCACAGGCTATGATGACTTCCAATTTCTTAAAAATTTAGTGGCATAATCCCCGTTGCAATATGGTAGTAAATTTTTAAGAAATTGGAAGTCATCATAGCCTATGAATTCAGTTAGACAAATGTATTTGCATAACCTTAGTTAATTTAACCAGGTTCATATGGTTTGGCCTACTATTACTGCTCTCCTCTAGTAATTCTATTATATGTTATAGCAGTAGGGTTAAGTAGTTAAACAATGAAGGGAACGATGGCGATGGGGGTGGAGGTTGTAGCTTTACGTGATGATGAGAATGTGCATCAGTTTTGGCTTCCAGTGATGGTGGTGGTGTCAGTGGTGGGTTGGGGAGATGAATACATTATATATACGCTATGTATAATTTAGATATCTTCAAGGAAAACAATTAACCATCTATGAGAAAGGTAAATGGATATTCAAATAATTTATTTGACCAAGAAAAATTGCAAACCCAACTCCCTTAAATTTTGCTATAATGAAATGCATATCAGAAAATCCCTAGACATACGTTTCACACCCACCTCAGGTAAAGGATTATCCAGTATTCAAAAAAACTGGGGAGAGGAGCTCACACATAACAAGCTCCCAATACTATCATACTTATTAGTAGCCTGACAGGAGAATAATTTAAGTACTTGTATTAACCAGACTAGCTGTGTACCAACCTCAATAGCAATCAGATAATAGCGAATGGCAACATCAATATTGCCTTTTTCCTGTGCACAGAAGAACAGAAACAATGTATATTAGATCTTGAAATGCTAGCCAAAAAAAAGTTGTAAACCTCAAAGACTTGTAGTTGTTGGTTACCTTCCAAGCATTTGCCATGTTCCCATAGCATTCAGCAAAATGTGGATTGATTCGAAGAGCTTCTTCGTTCTTTGCAATGCACATATCAAAATCATGCAACTGAAAATAACAAATACCATGCTTCGAGTTACATGTAGATAAATCTTGTCAACCAAAAAATATATGGATACGTCTATATATACATGTGTGTATATATATATATATATAGAGAGAGAGAGAGAGTGAAGGAACCAATAAACAGAAACCCCTGAAAATAACCTGATAATATATTGCACCATATAGAAGAAGATTATCAGTGCGCAGTGGGTTTCTCTCATAGACAGCCTTACTCTGTTCCAATGCCTGCTTATAGCTCCCAGCTTTGTAATTCTGGTGAGCTAGGGTCAAGAGCACATCATCATCAACTGCAGCAGAGGAGAAAAAACAGAAAAGAACCTCAGCAAAAGAAAAGAAACCCTCTCTCTAGTCTCTATCAAGTGGCAACACTATAATACAACAAAGCAAGCCAGCCTACACAAGCTCTGGTCATATGCATGATATACAGTTATAGTCCAAACTGTGACCTTGATACAACAGTGTTAGCATGTGGATAAGGTGGGGAACAACAAAATAAATGGACTGGATCAAATTACATCCTAAACCTTACGTATCTCAATAAAGGGTTTGGATCGAATTAATCTCATCCCAGTGTTGTGAAAAGCGAGCCTAGGCGAGAAGAGAAGAGAAGCGAAGCAAAACAAGCCTTGGTCGCTTCCAAAGCGAGGTTAAGTAAAGAGAAACAAGTGAGTCTAAGCGACAAAGCAAGCGCCTGCAATTTTTTTATTTTCTCCTCCTCCTCCNAAAATAAATTGATTGATTCATCGAACAATAACATATGACAATCTATCTTATTATGATTAGATGATGTTAAATGCTCTGTTTTGTTGTGAATGCTCTTGTTAATCAATTTGATTGGTTAATCAAATTGATTAATCAATTTATTATATGCTCTATTTGATTAATCAATTTGTGAGTGCTCTATTTAGTGGTGATATTAATCAATCACGATGGAAGTCAAACCCACATTTGCTAGATTTATATTTAGATGACGTGATTATGCCAATTGATTATTTTTAGAATGCAATAATGTTCAATATTTAATTTTTTGTCTATTTAAAATATGTTGAGCTTTATTATTTTGGTTGCATTTAAATATTTTGTATTTGTAAAGGTAAAACTTGAATATTTAGGAGTAATCAAAGTATCAAACTAAAATATTTGCTTATTTTTTATATTGTTCGCTTTGCTTCGATAAATTGCATGCTTCACTTGTCGCTTCTCACCTAGGCCCTCTGGAGATCGGTTCACTTCTCTTCGATTCGCTTTACGCCTTCAATAACACTGTTCCATCCTGTTGCAAGATTAATGTTGTTCTCAAGTTTATCATGCATGCCAAAAATAGGAATGAAAATTTGACACACACCCCTTTAAAAAAATAAAAAGAAAAAAAAAACAACAATAAGGCCATACTTTCTAACCCGCTGCACCTGATCCATGATGGGGAGAGAAATAGAAAAATCCTAATGGGAATAGGGCGATTTTGGATCTGCAGTAAAACCTGGAACAGGCTCTGGTCTGGGCCTGTTTAAGGATTCTCTAATCTGCTTGCCTGATTATATCTCGTATATACGATTGGTAGAGTTCAAAGCGAATCCAACTTAGTCCCACATTTATTCTCCAATAAAGCAGGAAGTATTTCGATGCTTAGAAAGACCATTTTACCATCATTATTTCACGCGACCAAACTTTCAAAGCCACAAAGTGTTATTATACCTCTGATGCCAAGCTGAGGAAGTTCAAATTATCTCTGTCAACTAATATTCTTTGAATGCTACTGCTGCTTAGTCCAAGAGTGATCCAACTTTTCTTTTCTTGATATGAAATAAAACGCCTCTAACTCATGCATTGACTGCTGCTACCTTCTACTTAAAAGATTCAGACACAATGGTCTGGTACCATGCGGGAGGAAGCTGGCAGTAATACTTCAGCATTATACATCTATCCACATGGAGGAGAAGCACAAATTAATCATTCTACTTTATAAGCTTTTAATGCTACCTGTCACATGTGTGATCCTCCTCATCAGTCCTAGCAAGCATCTCCAAAAATTCAAGTGTACTATATAATTGCCCATATACCCATCACGATAAGTTCCTTTTGTTGTATAATCACTTTAAAATGAGCAACTTCCAAAAATTAAAATACGAATACTCATGTAATGTAGATGACATGGATATGTCTCCTCCATAGAAACGCAAGTGCTCTTTAAAACAATCATGTTTTCTTCAATGAGCCCCTAATTTGGAATTTTCCACTGGCATCTATGCCACAATGATCCATATACATATCCACCAAAGGGTTTCAAACCCCATATTGGTATCTGATTGGACCTCCTATCCAATCCAACAAGATCCAAATAATATCCACATTTTTCATGTGAAAAGGCACAAGACTGTCAAGGCATGAGACAATGTTGGGCAACACAGAATTTTCGATTAATCCGAATAATTGAAATGGAACGTATTAAAGAAAAATGAAAAACAGATAAAAAAAGAGAGCAGGACAAGATCAATAACAAATACCTTTTAACTTATCAAGACATGAACATGGACTAAAGATGTGCAGTAATTAGGAACAATAAAAGATGCAAAGCAAAATAGTAAAAGAAACAAAGCTAATTACTCTATCAAAAGGAAGAAGAAATAGAGTGTCTTCTCATGAGGTTACATCTCATGCATATGGGTATACAAGGTACAAAAGCCATACCTTTGATTAAGCACCGACCCTAGAAGATCCCGACCAAATGAGACCACCACTTAATTTTTAAAAGAAAAGTTAATCTCAAGACCATCAACCAAGCACATTTTAAAAGACCTTTTGATGAGCCATCGACTAGTTCAATGGCCAATCATAACTATAGAGAACCCATTCACACTTTCAGAGTTTCGATTAGCAAATAGCTTTGTTTGTCTTAAATGAAGTTTTACTTCCTACTTTCTAACTAACTGTAATAGAACTCTTATGCAAGCCTATGTGCCTTATAAAATACTTGGCCTCTCTACTTGGGCTTTTCTACACAAAAACATTGGGTTTTCTACCCTCTGTTATTATCTTCTTTTTCATCCCTTCTTCTTGAACTTCACCATTCCCATTTCCTTTTTTTTTCTAAGAACAACTTCGCAATTCCCATCTATATGCACTTTTTAAAAACTAAAACTCTTCACCATGGACAAATTTAGAACTTTGTTACCATACCATGACCATTTTTTAACCCAAACCTAGAGACTCAAAAAGCATACCTTTCATCTTGGAGTTCTCCAAAAATCAATCCCAAACCAGTTACAACCTTGCAATCTAAGTATAGAAAAATACAAACATTTGTATACTGATCATGAATATTTGGTTGGGATAAATTTCCATAAAAAATGAACTTAGTGTTCCATGAAAAAAATGTTACCAATCTACGCAACTCCTTTTCCTTCTTGAACTTTAGTCCAATCGTAAAATGAAAATTACTATTCCTCAAACTGTCATTTTGTTCTCTACTAACTGCGATGTATCATCTTAAAGACTTAAACATAGCCGCAGACAAGGCAAAAGCTCAATGCAAATCATAGTTATTGAACCTAGCACAGACATCAATCCAGAAAAGGGACTGGTTCAGTGGGACACTAGTTCAACTCAGACCATTCAGACAATAAAGATAAAAAATTATCCATAAACAATAATAATTATGCCAAAAATTTAAAACATTCTAACTCCATGAGTGGGTTGAGGCCATTTACCGCAAAGCAAACAAAAAATAAACCACAAATTTCGTAGAAATAAGAGAAAAATCTTTACAACACCATAATCACATCTTGAAGCACAAATCAGAGCTAAAATATTCGAAGATAAAATTAAAACCATAACACACCCTATTTATGTAGAGCTACGGTATGAGGCTCACACAGGAGGTGATATTGTGAAAGAGCAACAAAAGTTTGTAACAGGTAAATAGTTTTTGATATAACCAGTGTCTTATTAAATACCCAAGCACTTGATATCTACCATGTCATCACCGTACACAATTACATATAAATAGACTCAAGTATCCAACCAAATACTTCAATTTCCAAGCTCGCCGCATCGAAGATGAGTGAATTCTATTGAGCTGTAGAAAGAGATGACACTGAGATTGTGAGGCAACGGCCGATTAGATGAGACTATAACTGAGAGGTGGTGATAGAGAGGCTTGAGAATGAGAATCTAGATTTTAGTGCTGATAATTGGGTTTTTATGGAGGCAATCCGGCCAGGCTTGTTCGCAACAACCATCCAGGTCACACAACTTGGATAAAAACCATCGAGTGAAACAGGCTTTTAACGGTTTGTTTGCTTAGACAATCCAAATAACAACTCAGTCCAGCCTAAGTATCAGTTTGTTGGGTTTTCGGGTTGCCCCGTCAATCTGGTCCGAGTTTAGTAACACCAGTACAAGTTGCAAATCTTCAATGCAAACCCATCACTAATCTTGTTTGTTGATTTGCATTATTGATCATGTTCTTACTGAAACACCTCCCCAACAAAACTAAAAAGAGATGGAAACGGGAAGGAAATGTTCCCAACTTCCACTGATACCCAGGGTGTCTGAAGGTCCATTGTCAACATTGCATTTTTCAGAAAAAAACTGGAAAATAAAAGGGGATTTTATTTCGGTGCACCCATGCAAAACACAATCCAGTGTGAACCAATGCCAAGAAAATACCTGATCAACCCACTCAGACTATCCAAAGATCCTATGGTCTCTTACAAGGACAAATGAGAAGACAAGATAGCTACCACCCATTGTTATACTTTTCAATCTCTGAAACCTTTGAGCTGACAAATTCAAACTAACTGTACTTATCATATGGTTCCGTACACATCCCACTGGAACATGAAGTGGCCTTTTTGCCGCCCCAGGGGAAGGGTGCATAAAAATGGAAAGAGCTGCATTAGATAGAATACTAGCTAATGTAAATTTGCACATAAATTTCCCCGCTAAAAAGGACAACACACTGTCCCCAAAAAAACACATCCAAATGAAACGCGTGAATCTTCTCAAGTACTACATTCCCTCAATTCCCGGTGGTGATCTAGAATTGAAGGATCCTCATTCCAAATTGCATATGAGAATCGGATTGCTTTTATTACATTTTTTCAATAAGCAAAACCAAATACAGCAATTAACCCAATGACAACAATAATGCATGCCGAACAATTCATTATCGTAATCAATTCCAAAACCCTAAATTCCTAAGCTTCAGAACCAAAACACTCAAACTCTGCCAAAAATCGTCAATATTCTGAAACACATTCAAACAATCTCTATATACACAAATATAGATACATGCACAATTCATACCAAGCACTTAAAATAAATAAAAAAATCATTAAAAAAAAGTATCTAACCGTCACATGATTCCAAGGGCTGAGAGAGCTTCAGATTCGACGAAGCCAACGAATCTTCACGCTGATCTCCATTGTAGGGAATCCTAGAAACCTGTTGCAACAACTGCAGCTGCTGTGGTGGCTGCTGCTGCTGCTGCAAATTGAATTGCCGATGATCGGTCTGCAACGACAGCATCGTGCTTCGGTTCCCGAGAAAACCAAAGGAAAATCAGAAGAATTTTATCATGGAACCAAATTTCCAGCGGATTCGACTATAAAATTGGGGGGAGAGAGAGAGAATGAAGATCGGACTCTTATAATGCTACTGCCGATGAACACATGAAGAGGCGAAGTGAAATGTAGGGGAATTTAAACGGGAATGAGGGGTATTTTGGTAATTTAACATGTTGCAACAGCGTATGGAAAGTGGGACGTGTCTTTGGATACTTGGACCCCCGTATGAATGAAGGTTCGGGTGGCGCAGGACACGTGGTTAAGAGAAAAAGCGCGTGAAGTGTATTGACGTGAGAGTCAAGCCGGGTAGAGGTTGAGTGTTGAATGAGAGTTGTTTCAGGGATTGAACCGGAACTAGATTTAAAAATAAATTTACAATATCATCCTTAGTTTAGTTGAATGGTAGCAACGTGGTCCAGAATCTAATTACCTCTTTATGATTTTCATCTGTTTCCTGAATGGACATGTTAATGTTGGTGTCAAATCAGTAAAAAAAACCAGTTGATTGGAGCTTATAGTGAGCTTACCAAGTTTTTGTCCAAAGAAAAGTCTTATTCATTTTTTCAAATTAATTTTCAAAAAATTACTTTGAGTGTTGTTTGAAAGAGTTGAATTTAAAAAATAATAAAATAGATTTTAAAATAATATTCGAGAATACTAAAGAATTGAGGATATTTTTTTAATTTCACACGGTAATTATTAATAATCTAATTTTTAAACTTAATTGAGAATCAATTGAAGAGCGATCCTAATCAAAATATTTAACAGTGATAGTATTGAAAACATCTAAAAAAATAATTTATAATTTATTTGAATAAATTTAGGAATTTACTTGCAGATAACAAGTATTGACCATACCTGGAATCTATGATGAATCAAGATCTCTAATAAATAAACATTAATTTTATTACAAATAACAAATCAATTATTTTATAAAAATTCTAATTAATTAATTCAAGCATTAAAAACCAGTTGTTTGACTCACAAGGAATCTCAAACATTCGATTTACATAACACAATAAATTAAGAAATTATATAAAGCAAAAATTTTACTAAAAAAACAAGAATTAAATTAAAATAATAAATCATACATTTAAAATACTAGTTATTGCACACGTGTTTTACACGTAAATAATTTTGAATTATAATTTTATTTATGTTGTTTGTTTTGATATGAATTTATAAGTTTATTTTTATAGATTGAAGCATATTTGAGAAGGCATATTCTAAGGTGGTTTCTATGCTATTTTTCTATTCAAATCATGAATTACATGACTTATATTCCTTATTAAAAAAAACGAAGTATGTGACACTTACGTGAGATCAAAGGTCAAATACAAAGACATAGGCTGGAAATCAAAAGGGACCATGGAAAGGTCAAAGGACATGAGAGCATATCCTTTAGATTTTAATATGTATAAATGATAAAATTAAAGTTAAAAACTTAATCCGCACATGTTAATCATGAAATCAAGATCAAACCAGCTAAAAAGAGCACATAAGATCGTGAGTATTAAGAATAAACACCAACCAACTTAACTCAATCCACATGTATAGCATATCAACCGGAATTTGATTTAGAATAGGAACATGAAAATTTAAAAGGATTAAATCTCTTTTGTGCTCCTCCAATGTTTTGATAATGTATACACACACCGTGACCATAAGAAAAAATAACTTTAGTAGCATAAGAAATTGTTAAAAAAAAAAAAAAAAATTGCCTGACAACCAATAATTATAGAGGTCTTCAAAAAGATTACTTGTCCAGCATAATATCACTAAAAGTGTGACGCCCTAATTTTCGGAGGTCCTGTTTAATCCGTTAATCACTTATCAACTCTCAAAATACTCATGGATACTGTATCACTCGATATCACGTCATTATGTCTCATTTGTCAGGATCCATAAGTTAACAAAATCCGGGTAAAGTCTCTTTTATATGAGGAAACTTTATCCAGAGCACCACATGTGTAATAATACAACATTGATCACACCGAGTTCATTCACTCATACTCAATCGCATAGTTTCGGATATTACCATAATCACCATATTTACATACATACATTCATTCATAACTGAATAAAGGGTAAATTACACCAATGGTCCTTAAGGTTTGTCACTTGTTACACTTTCATCTCTAAAATTCTAATTTCGTCAATTTCGTCCCTAAAGTTCAAACATTGAGTCAATTTGGTCCTTGGCATTAACTGTCATCACAAAAATAGACGGAAAACAACATGTGCCATTCAATTGCATATCTTCAAGGGTATTTTTAGTATTTTACAATAATCTATGCATCTAATCAATATTTTTTCTATCTGGACAATATTAGATACACACTCAAACATGCATCTTCTCCTTCCTCCTTTTCTTTTTTTTTTTCCTTTTCTATCTGTCTTGTTGTGCTCACTTTTCGCATACCGATCATATTCCCCTCCCCCCCTCTCTCTCCCCTCGTGTGTTGTGACTGATCCAAGATGAAGAATCGAAACCCCTAACTCCATGTGATGCCTTTCCCTCTTTTATCCCCAACATAACCCTCTCTCCATCTCTCAAACCCTAGACTTCATGTGACACATAAACACTACACAAGGAGCATGTCTCTGTCTCAAGAATGCTGACACCGATCACACCGCCCACCACGACAACCAAATCTCCCTCTCGGTGTTTACATGGGCTCTTTCTCTCTCTCTTTCTCCAGTTTGTCTTTACTCGCCCTTCCCATTCAAACCCATAAATCCTTCTATCTACGTTCTTGCATCTGTCGCCCTTAAACCCAACACATCTTCCCTCTCTCAAACCCCAGCACACACACAGCACAAAAGCCCGAAATTGCTCATCAATCATCTGAGTATTAGACCCTCAAATTTTGGATCGATGAAAAATTAGATTTGAATTGGGCATTAGATTGTGATTGTAATTCCCTTTCTATATTTCTAATTCTCTTTCTAATCTTTGTTTCATTCTCAAAAATTGTGTGGGTCATCGAGATTTCAATTTGTTTTTTATGGTGGAGGTAGCAATGGTGGGGTTTGGGTGTGTGGTGGGGGTGATGGAGGGGTAATAAGGGTGGTGGCAGTCATCTATTGGCCCTGGGGGAGTTGTAGAGGGTGGGGATATACAGTTGGGACCAAAATTTTCATTTCTAAGGAGGACAGAGGGAGGGAGGCAACCATTTTTTTTATTTTTCCATTTTGCTCTCTACTTTGTTTGTAAAATACCAGAAATACCCTGAAAAATTAGAGTCACAATCTGGCTATGTCATCAAGGCGGGCCCATAGGAGGGCCTTTGATAGAAGCTAGTGCAATACCTGAAAAATGTTCTTATAAAGGATAAGCCTACACTCAATAGGGTAACTCTTATAGAGAATACCTCACAACTCAAATGCATATGAAATGTCACATGCAACAATCATATCATACATTCATTCAAATATGTATATCATGAACAAATGATATAAATCATGTTATGCTATGAAATGAGACTCACACATGCAATACCAATCCCCGAGTCTCATTCCAGACTCCTACAACAAATGCAATGTCATGCGTATAAATTTGGTCATTCCAAGGCTCCACAATTCAATTTAATTATGTGTCTTTATGGAGCGATGATTTATGGGCTTTCACCAAAGGGACATCATACCTCAAACAAATTTTTAGGATACTTCACCTGTGGCTCTATCTTCGTTATCGCACAAATTTTCAGGCTCGTTACACCACCGGAATGAGTGTATCCAAATACTGGCTGGTCTTGCACCTAACGGAGAATATAGACCTTCTTAATACACCCCCGACACATTTATTTATGCAAAATTCAGTGCGACTCAATCGAATCTAAGCTCAACCTTCTCGAGCCCACCCATCAACTCACCTAAGTGGTGATTGACCCAAACCCATGCACACATATTCACACTCATGTCAATGCCCATGAATGTAGTGCAACCCGTGTATATGTAATGCAATGTGTAATTGACTTTCATACCATTTAATATGTGAATTATATGATGAGTGCAATATAATAACATTTTTCAACATCATCCCAATCATGTTATAAAAGATAATCAACTCAACTAACACACTTATTTTTACTTATACATTTAAGCAAATACCTAGAGAGTATATCAATTTACACAACTAGCGTACTTATTACTTCTAACATGGTAACATGTTTATTAATTCTATAAACATAAACATAATTCCACCACACTAATCATATGTTAAATAATCATTTAACATACACATTATCTTATAATCACATAACAAGCTAATAATTACGTAGATGGTACATCAATTTATACAACTAGCATGCTTATTACTTCCAACATGGTAACATGTTTATTAATTCTATAAATGTAAACATAATTTCATCATACTAATCATATGTTAAATGATCATTTAACAGACACATTATCTCATAATCACATAACAAGCTAATAATTATATTAAACTTGATATAACAGTAAAATATCAAGTCATGCTAATGTACAACTAACATGCTTTAAACCACTAATATTAACATGCACCAAGTTAATCATAATAGGATTTCACTAATTAAAAGATTAACTATAAATTCTATATTTGACCCATTTGTTATATTAGTCAAAAGCTAAACATGTGATATACACTCATAGCCTACCCATTTCATATGTCATCTTTTAGGTTGAAATTACATCTAAATAGGGGAAAATATTATATCTTGTAGCGTGAGTCCACGTAATAGAACTTCCAAGAAAACTCGAATCTAACTTCCCTAAGCCTTAATTTAATCCCGAGCCAAAAATTTTATTTTTGAACAATATTGTAATTAGACGAGGTTAATACTCACGCGTAGCCCTTGTCACACCACGAATCAGCTCGACATGTGACAGGTGTTACTTTAATCCACGGAACGCTATAATACTTAGTCGTCACGTAGCATAACATAATAACCCCCAATTTACAAACCACAGGTTATTGTA